ATTGGCTCATTCGTTGTTGGTTGATGTTTATCTGCAGGTGTGTCAAAAAAAAAGAAGGCTTATTTGAGCCCGGTCTCACTCTGAAGTCCTCAAAACCTGGCGCTGTGGCAGTGACCTGCGGTGTTGGAAACCAACGAAAAAAGGCATGCTTTAACGTCTGCATCATACGCAGCCGGTTGCTGTTATAGTTTAATGGCGCCCAGCAGTGTCAGGGGGAAACACAGCAGTGATGGATGAGTCCAACAAACACCAACTTTCACCCAAGAGAGTTAAATGTTTTTGTTGCCTAAACCCAACTACATGTTGTTGTTGCCCAAACCTAACCACGTTTTTGTTGCCCAAACCCAACTACATGTTTTTGTTGCCCAAACCTAACCACGTTTTTGTTGCCTAAATCGAACCAGGTCTTTTTGTTGCCTAAACCTAATCACGTTTTTGTTGCCTAAATCTAACCAGGTGTTTTTGTTGCCTAAACCTAACCAGGTGTTTTTGTTGCCTAAACCTAACCAGGTGTTTTTGTTTCCTAAACCTAACCACATGTTTTTATTGCCTAAACCTAACCTCTTGTTTTTGTTGCCTAAACCTAACCAGGTGTTTTTGTTGCCTAAACCTAACCAGGTGTTTTTGTTTCCTAAACCTAACCACATGTTTTTATTGCCTAAACCTAACCTCTTGTTTTTGTTGCCTAAACCTAACCACGTTTTTGTTGCCTAAACCTAACCTCTTGTTTTTGCTGCCTAAACCTAACCAGGTGTTTTTGTTGCCTAAACCTAACCACATGTTTTTGTTGCCTAAACCTAACCAGGTGTTTTTGTTGTTGAAGGAAAAAAAAAACGTCAATTCATGGTGTTTACCGACGTAAATTTCCTGTGAAAACAGAAGTGTATTTTGAAAACAGACAATGCATGTAACAGGCTGAAGTTGACACGGCGTCCCAGAACGTCAACAACCAACACACCCAGGGTACCTTGGACGTCATATGTGCCCTGTGAGGCAAATTATGATTTGTGATATTGGGCTTTATAAATAAAATTGATTGATTGATTGATTGATTGATTGATTGATATGTGGACGTGGAAAGTCCATGACCAAATGTGGACATGTGACGAGGTCACAGTGGAAATGAATTAGCCTGTGAAATGAATTTTAACTTCAATACCATAAGACATCTCCAATGTCATTTCTGTGAATTTGGCAGTACATCCAACCAGCCTCACAACTGCACAAGTCGGTAATGATGACAAGCTGTTGTCAGGTCCAGACCCTGGTGAGGACGATGACTGTGCAGATGAGCTTCACTGAGACACGATCTCGCAGGTGGAGACACTGGATGTGGAGGTCCTGAGCTGGTGTGGTCATGGACACATGGTCTGCAGCTGTGAGGCTGGTTGGATGTACTGCCAAATTAATAGAAAAGACACTGATGTCTTATGGTAGTAAAATGAACAATCAGTTCATGGGCAACAGCGCTGGAAAACAAACAACCTGCAGTCAGCATGCCAAAGACACGCTCCCTCAAAGCATCTGTGTCATTGTGTTGTTTGATCAAACTGCACATTTTAGAGTGTCCTTTTATTGTGACCATCCCGAGACACACCTGTGTAGTAATGACGCTGTGTAATCATCATCTTGATATGCCACATCTGTCAGGTGGATGGATTATATTGGAAAAGGGGAACTAACACGGATTTTAACAAATGTGTGACCAACATCTGAGAGAGATATCTCTGTTGGTTGTATAAAAAAGTGTTGCATCTTTAACTAAAACCTGTGAAATATGGGAGCAAAAAAAGTGTTGCATTTAAATTTCTGTTCAGTGTATTTTCTCCAGGAAGTTTTTGCACCTGGCGAAGAAAAGATTCTGCACATTACCCCCCATAAAACCAACTTTCAGACAGAGCCAGGCTCAGTCAAGAACACCTAAACCGAGACCAGGTCATGACCAGGACCAGAGTGTATCGAGACTGGGACAAAACCAAGACTCTGAGTGACCAAGACCGAGTCAATACCTGGACCATCTCAAGTACTACACTGTCTAAGCTATCCTTACTGTCTTATGTCTCTAGTTTCATATTTAATAGATATAAAAGTGGTTTCGATCTAATCACCTTCGCAAGGCAGTGAATGGGTCAGTTTCCCAAACTATCAAATGATTCACCATCTGACATTATTGATGTAAATTGTCCGTACAGAAGTTGTTTCATAGCTACTTCCCCTCCTGTTTCCTCATTGGACTCAATTTGGCCAGATGAACTTGAGGTGCACCATCTGTATCTTTACACACTGCAGAGGGACAGCCAGGTTATTTATAGTTTATCTGAAGCCCCAGAAATTGGTCTTTCTTGTCACCCATAACTGAACCACATTTTCCACACTGCTCGAGGCAAAGTCTGTGCACTGTTATAAATGGACTCTGCTGTTGGAGTTACGCAGCAGGTGCAGCGGGAGACCTTCGCAGGACCTTGAATGGGCAAGTGTTATTAGCATAGAGGAAGACACTGGTGTGACTGTGCACGGCTGTGCCATGACGTCATGTTGATGCTCGACTGTTAACTCTCAACAATCCTGTAGCAATCACTCAAAGGTGCATCAGCTGACAGACGATTTCATTTCAACATCAGCAGTCTGTGACTTTAATATCAAACGATATAATTCTACAGCTGCTGGATCAGGTCGGCAGGTCTATCTGCGTAAGTACACCCGCTCCTGTAGGCATGACTCGACATGGCACCCCACAACCTCAACCACCAACGCACCAAGTGTACCTTTCATGCTGCATCTGCACGTGGAAGGTCCAGATGTTGATGTGACGAGGTCAGAGTGAGAATGTGTCGACCAGACTGTCTAAAAAACAATCAATAACATAACTATAGGGACGTGTGTGAATGTAGTTACTCGTCAAGGTTGTGAAACAGTCAGGCAACTGTCTTAAAAAGTTTCATACAAACTGGAGTCCTGGAATAATCATAGCAGACTTCACCAAGTTGAGAACTGATGGTAAAAATGAGGCACTTACAACAATTAACTTCATAATAATCTTCACTGTGTTTTTTCTCCTTGTTACTTTTTTGAAGTAGAAATATCTCTACACTTCCTCACAGAGGCTGCATAAGTAATAATGTCCCATTATATGGAGGAAGATTTGTGTCGATATTATTTGTGTGAGCAGATCGACAACCTGTGTTAATGTGTAACCTGTAAATATAAAACACTTTCACACAGATACAAAACAACACTGTTAAATCAAAAAATATTGTGCAAATATAAAATGGATATGCAAATACACAAATTACACAAACACAAAAAATATGTGAATATATTTAAATCATTTACAAATAAATTAAAAGCATTTGTGAATATCTTCCTAACATTAACAAACAGATGTTTGTGAATCTCAGTCTGTGCATGTAGATTTACATTTTACACATACTGAGTCTGTAAGAGCCACTTAAGCACGTATGTATATTTAGTAAAAATGTCTTTGTTGATATGACATATCATAAAAGTTCTGATGATATTTATGTTTACACAACAGTTCCTGTATACTTTGAATAGTGTATGGTAGTGGACTATATTTACTTCATTTATGTGTTAGAATACAGGCACAAGTTATTTAAGCCAGGTATAGTGCTGAAAGGCAGCTTACGCCAGGGCCACACCGCCCGCGGAAGCGCTGCCAATAGCCTCGAAGCGCCGAGAAGCGAAGCCAGTTTCCTTTCGGCGCCCGTGTTAACCGATTGTATCATCCACACCGGCTGCACCGCGCAGCTCCGCGGCCGGCCCTGCAGCAATTGTTTCGGCGTCTGGTCTATTTTCTGTGAGTGAATGTGTCAAGCCGGGCAGGAAGTCAAACAAAGGAACAACAGCAGCATCCGGTCAATTTTCAGAATAAAACAAATTTCAAAATAAAACACCCCGTTTGACAAATGCGATGTATATATGTGTGTGTGTTTATATACATATACTCATTACTAAGAAGTGGACATACATGTACAGTTGTTAGGAAAACATGGTGTATAATTTTATGAGGTTATTAACTTACCCATGATGGAAAAACAGCCCCAAATGTGACGGAGACAACAGCTGGGAGCAGAAGCTCTTGTCGACCAGCGTGGAGAAACGCGCACCTGAATGGAAATGCTCCAGCTCGTGCAAGAATTTCGGTGCACTGCGCTTCGCAGCACTTCGTTGGCAGTGTGGCCCTGCCGTTAGTGCGCATGACAAACTAACAGGTTATGGATAATAACGGGTTATACGTGTGAATATGTAGAAATAGGACACAGAGTCTGAAGTGGACTGTACAAGATGTCATTTTTATTTATGTAATTAAAACAAGAGGAATTGGCCTTTTGGGTTTTTTGTGTTGGACAGTCTCATGTGACTGTGGATCTCCAGAAAAGGAACAGAAACACGAGTCAAAACCGAGACACCTGATAATAGAAAAATATATATATAACCCCAAGGCAAAACAGCACCAGCAGCTGCAAGAGAAAACACAATTAACCAAAAACCTCTTGATGCAAATTAAAAGAGAGTTTCTGGGGTCAGTTATGAAAAGGGTTAAATCAGCTCTGACTGATGGCAGCACCAGGCATGCACCTCTTTAAGACAGACATCAAACCCAGGGAGTGAGCTGGCCTACAACACTGAAACATCAAGAAAGTTTAGAAGCCACATGCAGGACACCAAAGAAACAGCATGAATGTACACTTCAACATAGCTCATCACAGGAATGAGGAGCAGCGTCTCTGCAGCCTGAGCATTAACATGATGTACATATAGAGCAGCATCAATGAGCGCATCAATCAGAATGACCTTTAAAGGAATTAAAAAACAACAACACACAAAACAGAAGGGTTACCATGGAGCCAGCGCTCTGAAACTCTGAAATACAGGCAAACACAGAGCTCGTGAAGGCAACACGTCAGACCCAGCTGGTATCCTAGCAACCACAGAAGCGTCCTCCTGCTGTGGCGTCAGCTGTCTGAGGTTTTATCACCGCTACTGCGCGAGTTTGACCCTAAAACATGGACCTATCAGAGGAGGTGAACACCAGACCGCTGTGTGCTCTGTCTGCATTCAGTTACATCTCACCACGATGGAAGGAAGCCAAGGAAATGTCGTACTTCAACACGGGGTCAAAGGTAACGGAGTAATCTCCTTGCTAACGCTAGCTAGCTAGTTAACTAAATTAGCTTGCTAACGCTAGCTAGCTAGTTAACTAAATTAGCTTGCTAACGCTAGCTAGCTAGTTAGCTAAATTCAACATGATTCAACATCAGTATCACAACAACAACAGCAAAGAATGTTAAAATAGGATTAGCATATAGCGTCATGTCACCTAATTATATCTGGACAGGTGTGTTTCAGACAAAGGAAGTCAGGGAAGGTTGTTAAAGTTAAAGCTAACTGCAACTGCAGTTTATGTGATGATACAATGATACCAGGGTATTCATGATGTAATGGCCCTGAAATAATATCACGATATTCCACAGTATATTTATGATTACGATATTTTTGACGATATGACAAATTAGTAAAAAAAATATGTATGTATACTAGTCCGTACCCATTGAGTGCACAGTTGCCCACGTACAGTTTCACATGGTGTATGTTTGGGATACAGGTCATAGGAAATTTTAGATTAAATAGTCAACTGAACCCACTAAGAAGAGCAATGTATTCATGAATTTGATAGTACGATTGCTTTGAAAGTACAGTAGTACCATTGCCAATAGTGGAATAGATAGTGGGCTAAAACTGTACATTAGAAGTTGAGGTAGCACGTTGAAAGGCAGATAGTTAAAGTGTTTATATGTTGTATTGACTTAAAAGTGGGGCGCACTGGTAGTTCACATGGGAAACATCTACCAAGTTTAGTAAAAATCCATATGGCGGTTAGGCCTAGATAAGAAATGAGCTCTCTAGCGCCCCCATTTTGTTTGATGGGGTCAATAATGGAGGGGTCCCCTCAGATTATGTGTGGTCATATGCCTACAAAGTTGCGTGGTGATGGGTGAAACCCTTGAGATGTTATACACCTTTATGTGATGAGCCACGCCCTCCGCAATATTCATTGCCTTATAGAAGCTCAGTTTTAGTAAGTTTTCCAACTTTTGCCAAGAGGGAACTTTAGATATTGGTCCCTAGATTATGTTCACCCAGTTTCATGCAGATCGCTCAAACTTCCTAGGAAGAGATTCATTTGAAGCGTTTTTCAAAAAATTCAAAATGGCGGAAAATCTATATAAGCGGAAGTTATGGGTTCTTGAGGCAAATGTGTTCCTCATGAGGAGAGGCATCTCTGTGCAAAGTTTCATGTCTCTACGACATACGGGGCATGAGATATGCCCATTCAAATTTTGACATTTCAATGGGTTGCTATAGCGCCCCCCTTTGGCCAATTGATGTAATATTGCTTCATTGGCATCCTCCCATGACCCTCTACCACTGTGCCAAATTTCACATGGATTGACCAAGTCAGTGAGGAGAAAAACATGGAACAGACACACACAGAGTTTTCATCATTATATAGTAAGATTATCAATTTAAGTTTCACAGTTTGCTTCAAATATTCAGTAAAAACTAAACTGATGTCTCATTTCTTTCATTTGTGAACAACAACAGTAACTCAGAGTGAGATTCAGATTCTGTTACAATATTAATAGTTCAACTAAATCAAATCTACTAATTACACATTTAAACAGCTCCCAGATACATAAACTGTCCCCTGGGATCTATATATATAAATCAACAGCTGATTTTCTTCTTTGAGTAAAATCCTAAATGATTGAGTTGTTTTTTTCCACCTGGACCTAGTGTTGTCATGAGAACCGATACTTCAGTACCAAATCGATGCCAACACGCAAAACATACGTCGGTACCTGCTTTTTTTCAGTACCATAAGTACCGGATACAACTTTGCCCTCAGCGGGCCATGTCGGTTCCTGTCAGAACTGACGGGGGCAGTATACACGCGTCAGTCTCTGCTGGGGACGAGCGCCGAAGAAGAACGCCTGTTCTCCATCATGTTTGCTAGGAACAATGGCTTCTACAGGTGCTAGAGCTTAGATCAGGCCCAAAAAATCCAGCCCAACACCACCCGAGCCCGTGCATGTTCTGTCCGAGCCCGGCCCGTCCCTTTAACTGTAATCATGAACCCGAGCCTGGTTTAATCCCGACTTTTTTTAAGGATACGAACGTGGACATTGAAGGCTGACTCTCGTCTTTCTTTCCATGGCAAACCTTCGTCATGTGTCTCTTAAGTGTCGAGGTCCCCGTCTTTTTGCTGTCATATACCAGCATCGTGCTGCACGTGGTACGCTCAATGAAGCCGACACACACGCTGTCACCATCGATCACTCACATGTGCGCGGCCAGTGGCACAGTCAATTTCTGTTTTTTAATTTTTATCGTGGTATCAAATGAGTATCGAGAATCGTGGAAATTCACTGGTATTGTTATCGACTACTGAAATTCTGGTACCGTGACAAGCCCACCTGGACCTTTATGCTCTGCCATTTCTCCTCTAACCATCAGCTGTAACCTGTGACAGGCTGTTATGATACAGTCACATATATGGAGTTTATTCACGTAGGTTTCCATCAGCAAAGGTTTGTGACAGAATCAGAGAGGAGAGGGAGAGACGCTGTGCTGCTGCCAGAGGAGCCGCTGAATGAGTTCCCTCTGAGCGCTAAGAGAAGGAAAACATTCAGGACGCCACAGTTTATTCCACACTACTGAAGCTGCTCCTCTTTTTACTGGAACCACCAAGGAGTCGCTGATCATTTCGCTTTCAGCCATGATTGTCCAAGTCCAAATATCGTGGGTACCATGGCTTGAATTTTTCATATCATATTAAAGATTATAGCGCGGTGTTATTGTGAATGAGATGATACACACACACACAGCATCCCATCAGGCTCTTCATGAGGCATATGACCTTCATCATCATGTGCTCTGTGCTTCCTGTGCTATTAAATATATTAAAGTTCTTTGACTCATTAGACTGTCTCAGTATTTCACTAACTAGTATAATTGCTCTCCCTCCTGCAGTTTGAGTCTCAGACTGACCCTGACTTTCCTCCAGAACTGTGTCATCTGGCTGGTTTATTAAAAAGTGTTGGCAGGTGTGTTAAACTTTCTCACGCTGAGTTACTGTCCTCGTCTGAAGATGTTAAAATAGCCTGTTATATCTTTATATGATCTCTTTCCTCCTCTGTCCCACATAGGCCTTTTATTAAAGAACACTGTTATCTTCTTCACTTAAATTCTGGAAATGAAATTCCAAGTCACTCCAGCATTATTTAAACAAACAACTGAGACAAACAACTGTTTATTTGTAGGGCTGATGGAAAAACGCAGAGTAAACCCAGAGTACAATGTGAGGTTCTCTAAATGATCACTTGGTGCCTGTTTACTTGTTTACTCATACCTTGAGCCACTTTGGAGAGGAGATTGTTGTGATTATTGGCTTCTTCACGGTTCCATCTTGCACCGTCCCCAGAGTCCTGTTAAATGATCCCCTTCTGTCTGAGGACAGGCTCTGAATGATTAACACTTGCCTCTCCATTGGTAGGCCCCACAAGTCTCCACGAACGACCAAATCCTTCCCCCGCCAGAGGGTTACGATCCCAAACTGACCCGAGACAACAGGAAACACTATAAAGGCAGAGGACTGCACATCTACGAGGAGGTAATGACCACACGTTAGGTACTGTTTTGGTTCTGAAGTGTCTCATGCTTATTATCAGACTGTAATCTGGTCATGCACAAAACTGGCTGACTGCTGGAATCACTTCTTCTAAAGGTGCGGACACACCAAACCGACATCAAAGAACTAGCGGCGACGAAAGCCAACTGTTGCGTCGTCTACGTCGCCTCACGTCGCCTCACGTCGCCCTGTGTCAGTTGCATTTGAACACACTACACGGACTACAACCAACGGCCAAGTAGCACGTACGTTCTACGCCTGCGTGAGAGAGAGCAGAGTGAGAGAGTGGTACATCCTGTCAGCCGAGGGGTTTCCTATCTGTGCAGCCGAGCACCGCAGCACCTCCACGGACTATTACATCCAGACGGTCCCGGTGTTTCCTCCACAGGCTCCACTTCACTCAGCTGCCCGATAAACCCGCTGCTTCTTCCCACTTTAACCTGAATAACAAACCAGGGCTCGGTGCTCCGGTTGGATCCAAACGGAGAGCCGGGCCTAGCTCAGAGACTAGCGGAGGCTAACTGGCTGTGCTTCCCTCCGGTCATGCTGCGGCTAACGCTCCGCTAGCCGCTCCCAGCTAGCTCCGGTTTGTTATTCAGGTTAAAGTGTGAAGAAGCAGCAGGTCTGTGGGGCAGCTGAGTGAAGTGGAGCCTGAGGAGGAAGCACCGGTTAGCCCCGGTTTCACTACAGGCAGATTCACTCGCTACAGGGGCGAGGAAATAAAAACTGAACAGCCAATCAGAGTGATCTCTCTCACCGACAAGCTCCGCCGCCGATTCAACATGCTCAATCAGCCGAAAAACCGCTGACGCCGAAGTGCCAACGGTGCGGGACACACCGCAAAAACTAGGCCGACAGACGCTCACCGACAGCCCGACTTTGACCGTCGGCTTGGTGTGTCAGGGCCTTAACATTATATCAGATATGTGATTTCATTCACCTTCCTAAGAGCTCGCAGGAGAATCCTCCTCCAATGGAAACAGTAGACTCCACCATCTTGTGCCTCTAAGCTGCGTGATACAATGTTTTTCCGAGACCTGGAGAAGATGACGTGATTCAGGTCGGCTACTACGCTATCAGGGATGACTTTCTTTGATCATGTTCCCCACTGGACATAACATGTTGGAGATTAATCCTCCTGTGATGGAGGCAGCAACAATGTCCCAGTCTCTCACGTCTTTAGACGAAACGTGCACATGAAGGTAAACTTTGCTTTACAGGAAGATGTATTGCTGAACTAATGTTATTATTATTAGTTAATGTTATGAATTACAGTTCATTACTTCTCCAGCGATGACATCAGTGAACGTTGCCTCACAGCACTGACCACCTACACACTTGGCACACAGATCCCAGAGCAGTACATTATCAGCAGAGCGACTCCACTCAGCTCATAACACCTTCCCCTGGTGTTTACTGGAGCTTATTGTTGCAAACAGAAGCTTTGGATAATATTGGCAACGTGTTTAATAGATGGAAACGTCGGCATCTAATGAAAAATATATGTTTCAAAATGTTCCATATTCATTAGTCTGCCGCACATGGTGTCATCTAAATGTGATGACATTTGTTTAAGGCTCCTTTTGAAGCCGTTCCATCTCCGCGGAGGAATTATTCATGTCAAGAAAACGATCACGCACCGAGTTTCTGGGTCACAGGAAGCAGAGAGGGCGCTGAACAAAGCAGCCGCACACTGCAGAGCTTGTAATTACTGTGAGTCGAGGGGTGGGCTGTCAGCGGCGGCAACAGCTCCTGCTGAATTAGGCTGTTTCTGATCTGGAATTCACATTTCATTGTAAATTAAAAACGATTTATTGTATGAACTAATCCGAGGATAATGGCAGCGTGTTATTTCTTGTCCCTAAGACGTATGAAAATCTGCAGGTGGGGTCATGTCTGCAGACAGTGAGCCTGACCTCAGTGAGACACACTGCTGCCCCGGGTCACACTGAGTGACACATGTACTCCAGTTATTCCTAATAAAACATTATGGGGGTGTGAACTACTAGTTCATCTGTTGGGGCAATTTTCAATCCCGCCAGCATCGTACCTTATTACATGTGGTGAAATGAAGAGGCAGAATGAGACTTACAGCAGAGAGGGAGGAACAATCATCTTCTCATCTCACCTCTGACAGAGTAAAAGTACTTTTTCCTTCAGCTGCAGTGATTATGGCTTCATAAAATCATGTTCTGCTGCACATTTAAAAATTATACCACAGTGATACATCAGAACAGAAGCAATAAGTGCAGTCATACATCACCTGTGTCACGTTTCAGTTCAGAGGAGGACCCAAATGCAGACCAACAGACAGTTTGAGTTTCTTACAAAAAGCGAGCTTTAATGCAGCTGGTCGAAAACATCCAGTACAGGGAGGCAACTCTAAGTCCAAACGAGAGCAGAAGAAAAACCTGCTTGTGTTCACCAAGACACGGTTACAGGAAGATACGCCCAACTCGAACGGTAACTCAGACAAGAGCAAAAGTGGTGGTCCCTGCGTTAATCTCAAACTGTTGAGGATAAGCTCATCTTAACTCATTAACATTGACGTGTTCTGTCCGTCTGCCTTGTTGTCCTGTTCAACCTTAGGAGAAGTCCAGAGCTGTGCCGCTGCGCGCTTCGTCAGAGTACGGCCGTCATCCCGTCCTCGAGGAGTACAGAAGAGGTCAGCGATACCCTCGTGTGTGTAAGCTAAACGATAACACACACAGGACTGGGATCGTCTGGAGTGAGTCCGAATTATATGGACCAGTGGCCCCTGAAGGCTTCGACAGGAAGAAATGAACTGTGACAGTAATAAAGCAGCGTTGTGATGTGCAGATTTCTCGATGGTTAAAAAAATCCAAAACATCAAACATTCCAGTCATCGTTTATTCAGATGACATTTAATTATGACGTATTACTGTTTAATATTCTGGTACTTTGCAAGGCACAAACAGTTTTTCTAAGTGAAATATGATCTGTCCAAAGCGTTAAAAGAATAAATCAGGAAATATGGAGATGGTGACATTTTCCAGGAAGTTTGGGGAACATTTGAGGCTGAAATCACTCCATCAGTATGAGCGTCATTCAAAGGTTCAGGTGGAGCAGACAGTCTATAAATCCAAACACGTCTTCCAGTTATTGCTGCTCCATATTGCTCATGATATCAAAGATCAGTCTTCGTGTTCAGATTTCTGCTGTCAGTACAGAAGTTGCTTTTATTAAGAGAGTATTGTGGATGTCAGGCGTACGGTGAATCCTTAAACTGACAGGGTTCTTGAAGCTTCAGGCAAGTTAGGTCTGAGACTTTTTAGTTTTTAACGCCACTCAAAATGAAATTTAGGACCAATTTTACGGGCGGTGTTTTAACCCTTTGAAACCTGAGCATATAGGCTTGACTTCTTTCAAAAACATGGGAAGAAGGCCGTGAGCACGGCATGTTCAGTGGTGAAATCCTGCTAGTTTACTGTCAGAGGCACTAAGATTAATTCACATTGAGCCCGATCTCACTCCGAACCCGTCGAAATCCGGCGCTTGGGCAGTGACTTGTGGCGTCAGAAACAAAGAAAAAGACATCCTGTAAGGCCGGCGTGATACGCGGCCGGTTGCCGTTATAGTTTAATAGCGCCTGGCGGTGTCAGGGGGGAAAGTGGCGGGACAAGGACGAAAGGCAGCGAAAATCTGAGTGAGGTGGGCAGGAGAGGCGGTGGATTGTCCAACAAACACCGATTTTCACCCAAGAGAGCAGCGTTCGCGTCCAGTAAGATTCTTTTTCTTTAAAGATATTTTTTAGGGCATTTTTGCCTTTGATAGGTCAGTCAAGTGTGAAAGGGGGGAGAGAGAGAGGGAGTGACATGCAGCAAAGGGCCACAGGCTGGAGTCGAACCCAGGCCGCTGCGGCAACAGCCTTGTACATGGGGCACCTGCTCTATCCACTAAGCCACCGACGCCCCACATCCCGTAAGATTCTAAAGTCAAACCCTGTTTCTTTTTTCCGAAACTTAACCACGTGTCAGTTCAAAGAGCCCAGTTTACGTTAAAAAAAAAAAAAAAGCGAGGTTTAATTCAGCCGACAAAAAACAGATACAGCAGCCAACCGAAAGTCCAAATGAAAGCTGAATGAAAACCAAACCAAAAACCAACCAGGGACACGATGAACGATGAACTCAGGCAAAAAAAAAAATCCAAACACAAGATATCAGGCAGGAGCACAGAGCATGGACGACATCAAGAACACAGGGATGAGCACAGGATGAGCATAGACAAACTGACAAAGGACAAAGGGAAACACACAGATATATCTAGACGAATTTGGCGAGCGATTTGTGTATGCAGCCATCTTGCGGCGGCGCCATTGCTGCGGTGACATGTGTCAGTCATCAATTCATTATGCTGTCATTGTGAACTGACTCTCTACAATGACAGCATCATGAATAGCTGGATTGATGATGTTAGACAGTGGCCTCCGGTAACTGATGAAGGTATCTTAAATGAGTACCGATATTAATATAGAAATTAATCATTTGTTTGAGCGATAAGCAGGAAAGATTAGAGTAATAGGGAGATAATAGACTGTATCATTAAACACTGTGTAATATAACGTTAGCATACGTTACGTGTGCTGACGTTAGCAAGCTAGCAGCGTGACATTTAATCATTATGGACAGGCTACGTGACTAAAAACAACAACACGTGTTTGTGTTTTGTTTTAGGTATTCAAGAATATTTTATTGATCGCCTGGCCTCCGATGACCAGAAAAACGGCAATTACAGGTCTCTGATTGAGGGTCAAAATTACCTGAGCCCATAATGATTAAATGTCACGCTGCTAGCTTGCTAACGTCAGCACACGTAACGTATGCTAACGTTATATTACACAGTGTTTAATGATACAGTCTATTATCTCCCTATTACTTTAATCTTTCTTGCTTATCGCTCAAACAAATGACTAATTTCTATATTAATATCGGTACTCATTTAAGATACCTTCATCAGTTACCTGAGGCCACTGTCTAACATCATCAATCCAGCTATTCATGATGCTGTCATTGTAGAGAGTCAGTTCACAATGACAGCATAATGAATTGATGACTGACACATGTCACCGCAGCAATGGCGCCGCCGCAAGATGGCAGCATACACAAATCGCTCGCCGAATTCGTCTATACACAGAAAACTAATCACAAGAACAAGACAGCTGGAGGAGGAAGACACGGACAAAGGAAGGAAATGGGGACTGGCTAACAACAAGGGTGGAGCACAAGGGAAGACTCTGGGAACAGGGAGGGACTAACGAGACAGGTGTGACAGAAAACACACAAAGACAGGAAGTAAAACCAGACACGACACGAGGAGAGAATCTACAAAATACAACAGACAAGAGTTCCTTGGACGTCGTATGTGGACGTGGAAAGTCCATGAATGTCAGTATGTGATGAGGTCTGAGTGAGAATGTTGTGACATCAGCTGTAGAAGTTACAAAGAGCTTCACCCAAACCCACAATCATTCATATCCATATTTACCACGTTGCCTGTATTTGATCTCTCCTCTTTTTGTTCCCTTTGTGTAAATACCGTTCTCTCTCTCTGCATCACTAACGTCTTTGTTTTGCAAGTTCTCGGATTCCTTTTGTGTAAATTCTGAACCCACGCAACTGAGACCAACCTCCTACATAATAGGATTTTTCAGAGCACAGACGTACAGTATCTCATTTGCTCCTGCCTTTGTACTCTGGCAGAAATAGACCATTTATTCTTAGAAACGATACAGTATTTGAATGTGTTTGGTGTTAGAAGTTCAGTGTTTATTTAAGAGGATCAGGAGCTAATACACAAGGTGGCGTTCAAAGAGGAGGAAGAGAAAAAAGAGCCGAGTGAAATGTAAATGTTGTCGCATAAATGGTGGTTCACAAAAGCCTTTATGAAACAATGGTTTCACACCTCGGCCAACAGATTCCTCTGTGGAGTCCTGCACCAAACGGAGCTCAGTGCAGTATAGAGACTTTATTATTGCTGTGTGTGTTCGCTGTGCAAATCATTTGTAAATGTTTAAACTTTTTAAATATTTAGATGAAATGTAATACACTGTGATAGTATTTATACAAAGAATACTAAGTGTTAACTGTGATGATGGCATTTGTAATCCAGAGGACATATTGATAGTAAATAGTTCAACATTGTGAGAACTTTGCTTTGTGGCAGAGATTTGAATATATATATATATATATACAGTACAGGCCAAAAGTTTGGACACACCTTCTCATTCAATGCGTTTTCTTTATTTTCATGACTATTTACATTGTAGATTCTCACTGAAGGCATCAAAACTATGAATGAACACATGTGGAGTTATGTACTTAACAAAAAAAGGTGAAATAACTGAAAACATGTTTTATATTCTAGTTTCTTCAAAATAGCCACCCTTTGCTCTGATTACTGCTTTGCACACTCTTGGCATTCTCTCCATGAGCTTCAAGAGGTAGTCACCTGAAATGGTTTTCCAACAGTCTTGAAGGAGTTCCCAGAGGTGTTTAGCACTTGTTGGCCCCTTTGCCTTCACTCTGCGGTCCAGCTCACCCCAAACCATCTCGATTGGGTTCAGGTCCGGTGACTGTGGAGGCCAGGTCATCTGCCGCAGCACTCCATCACTCTCCTTCTTGGTCAAATAGCCCTTACACAGCCTGGAGGTGTGTTTGGGGTCATTGTCCTGTTGAAAAATAAATGATCGTCCAACTAAACGCAAACCGGATGGGATGGCATGTCGCTGCAGGATGCTGTGGTAGCCATGCTGGTTCAGTGTGCCTTCAATTTTGAATAAATCCCCAACAGTGTCACCAGCAAAACACCCCCACACCATCACACCTCCTCCTCCATGCTTCACAGTGGGAACCAGGCATGTGGAATCCATCCGTTCACCTTTTCTGCGTCTCACAAAGACACGGCGGTTGGAACCAAAGATCTCAAATTTGGACTCATCAGACCAAAGCACAGATTTCCACTGGTCTAATGTCCATTCCTTGTGTTTCTTGGCCCAAACAAATCTCTTCTGCTTGTTGCCTCTCCTTAGCAGTGGTTTCCTAGCAGCTATTTGACCATGAAGGCCTGATTGGCGCAGTCTCCTCTTAACAGTTGTTCTAGAGATGGGTCTGCTGCTAGAACTCTGTGTGGCATTCATCTGGTCTCTGATCTGAGCTGCTGTTAACTTGCGATTTCTGAGGCTGGTGACTCGGATGAACTTATCCTCAGAAGCAGAGGTGACTCTTGGTCTTCCTTTCCTGGGTCGGTCCTCATGTGTGCCAGTTTCGTTGTAGCGCTTGATGGTTTTTGCGACTCCACTTGGGGACACATTTAAAGTTTTTGCAATTTTCCGGACTGACTGACCTTCATTTCTTAAAGTAATGATGGCCACTCGTTTTTCTTTAGTTAGCTGATTGGTTCTTGCCATAATATGAATTTTAACAGTTGTCCAATAGGGCTGTCGGCTGTGTATTAACCTGACTTCTGCACAACACAACTGATGGTCCCAACCCCATTGATAAAGCAAGAAATTCCACTAATTAACCCTGATAAGGCACACCTGTGAAGTGGAAACCATTTCAGGTGACTACCTCTTGAAGCTCATGGAGAGAATGCCAAGAGTGTGCAAAGCAGTAATCAGAGCAAAGGGTGGCTATTTTGAAGAAACTAGAATATAAAACATGTTTCCAGTTATTTCACCTTTTTTTGTTAAGTACATAACTCCACGTGTTCATTCATAGTTTTGATGCCTTCAGTGAGAATCTACAATGTAAATAGTCATGAAAATAAAGAAAACGCATTGAATGAGAAGGTGTGTCCAAACTTTTGGCCTGTACTGTATATATATATATATATATGAGAGTGGTGTCAAACCGCCAGATCAAAAATAAGTGTACACTATATGGACACAAGTATTTGGCTACACCTGTAAATGATTGAATTCAGGTGTTTCAATCAGACCCGTTGCCACAGGCGAATAAAATCAAGCACCTCACCATGCAGTCTCCATCTGCAAACATTTGTGATACACAATGGGTCGTTCGGAAGAGCGCAGCGACTTCAAGCTTGGTACTATGATAGGACGCCACCT